CCCGAGGCGATAAGTACGCTGTGCCCTGCGGACTTCCCGTATGTCTATGCTGACGGCGCTTACTGCTGTGCGACAGGTTTGAATAATTTTAATACTCCCGAACCGATCGATAAGTCCAGCCCGAGTTGTCAAGATAATAACTTTACGCCATGTCCTGATGGTACCAACTGCGAGAATGCGGTTGGTACCCCAATCGAAACCGTTCCGGATGTTCTGCAATCAGATGCGGCGCCAGATGTAGTGGAAACTACAACCACTACCTTCGTTACCAATACGGCTTCAGTAGAAGTGATTGAATCCCAGACGACCGGTACCCCATGCCCTGCAGACTTCCCCTTTGCTTACCTCAACGGCGCTTATTGTTGCGCAACCGGATTGAACAACTTCATCGAGCCTCAACCGATTGATTCCACCAGCCCAAGTTGCCAGGGCAACAATTTCACGCCATGCCCCAATGGAACTGACTGTGTCAATGCGTTTTCCTAGGAGATCTTTCACCACTTCGTGTAGGCAAAATGTATGTCTTGAACGAAAATACCTATTAAGCAAAAGTTCGCTCCCCCTAGTTGATTTTTTGACACTCTGATGAGTGAAGAAGACCCAATTAGTTTGAAGACACGGAATCGTGCTTGTGAATTATCGCTTTCCTTGGCCTAATTTTCTTTATTTTCTTCGAATTCAGGTTTCTTAATGAAGCAGTAGAGGTCCATATGTGGACAAGGAAGGTGGGTATGCATACCTCCTGGGTATGCATACCTCCTGGGTATGCATACCTCCTGTGATGCGCACCATATCAACAGCCGGATCTTTGGCCGCGCCATGTCTACCACATTGTCTGGACTGACATTTGTAGAGCGCGCCACAGGAAGTGTAGCGCTCAATATTGAATTTAGTTAAACCACTAGTGGTCTCAGACGGCGTCATATGAACCATGATTGTATATAAATTCTGAACGATTAAATTATTTATCTATAATGATTAACTCGTCGTCCCCCTCTCAAAAGGAACAATTGCAATTCAAAATTTGTTGAAGCACGTGTCATTTAAACTAAAGTATATCGTATAATTTCACCTTCTGAATTAATATACTATAATGAATATTCCACCGCTTCTCCTTTCACGTATTCGTGTGGATAATTGCAATTAACATCTTGTTGAAGCATGTGTTTAATTTAAAGTGTATACCGCTTGATTTCACCTTCTGGAATATACTCCAATGAATATTTCACTGCTTCACCTTTCCATTATTCGCGTGAATAGTTTTAATTAACATCTTCTTGTAGCATGCGTTGTTTATTTGAGATAATTATCGTTTAATCATATCTTCTGAACTATACTCAAAAGAAGCTACCATCACTGACCCCTACAATTATTCACGTGCACAATGCAAGTAACATTGATTAGGGATGTTTAGCTTAATTTAAAGTATATTGTTGAATTTCTTATATTCTAATGAATTTACCACCGCTTCTCCTTTCAAATGTTCGCGTGAATAATTGCAGTTTACGTCTTGTTGAGGTAGGTGTCGTTTAATTCAAATTTATTATGTTGAATCTCATCTTTTGAATTATATTTCAACAAATTCACTATAGCTTCTACTTTCGAGTATTCACGTGGCAATTTTTAAATATCTTGTTGAAGCAGGTGTCATTAATAAAGTTTATATCGTTGAATTTCATCTACTAAATCGCACTCCAAAGAATTTACCACCGCTTCTCATTTCATGTATTCGCGCAATAACATCTTGTTGAAGCACGTGCCGTTTAATTTAAAGTAATATCGTTCAACCTCATCTTTTCCATTGATTTTACCACCACTTCTCCTTTCAAATATTTGCGTGGAGAATTTCAATTAGCACCCTGTTGAAGAATCTGCCGTTTAATTTATATTATATATCGTCTTATATATTGTATATCACCACTTGAACTGTACCCCAATGAATTTACCATGTAGAATTTGAGAGTAGCAATCAAGATACGACCAAAGGAAACAATAGACCTCTTCTCAAGTGCGAATCTCTCAGCTAGATAAAGTCCTAGGCTGAAGGACTCGCATTGAATCTTTATTTGTGTTCAGTGTTTCGACACTAGACTGAAATTATGGGTGTTTCTCTCCTACACGGGGGTCCCAGTATAATCTATCGACATCGGTGCGGCTAGCGAGACCGATGAAATTGTGCCGGCCACAGAACCTGTTCCAAGTGCGCAAGAAACTGACGCCGCACGGAACCTGTTCCCAAGTGCGCAAGAAACTGATGCCGCACGTGAAATAGACGGTTTCGATGCCGTTTCGGATGAAGTAGTTGCACCGCTGCCTGTTGCCACCGAACTTGTGTCAGAAGTAGTAGCGAGTACTCCATGTCCCGCGGAAATCCTCCTCGTCTACGCGGATGGCGCCTACTGATGTGCGACAGGTTTATATAATTTCATTAATTCTGAACCGATCGATAAATCCAGTGTAAGTTGTCAGAACGACAACTTCACGTCATGTCCCGATGGAATTGATTGTGTCAATACCTTTGACGCGGAGGGTGTGGTAGTAGAGTCGGTGGCCGTCGATGCGGCTAGCGAGGCCGATGAAGTTGTGCCGGCTACGGAATCTATTCCAAGTGCACAGGAAACTGATACCGCGCGTGAAATAGTGGACACCTCTAGCGATGCCATTATCCCCGACACCATTTCGGATGTAGACTAGCATCTAGGGACCAGATTATCAAAAATCCAATACAAACCCCAATACCTCAGAAGATTTAAAAAATTATGATAATAGAATCATCAGAAATATTAGCGGTAGAATTGGTAAGCTATACCGGGACTCTGTATGTGAGGGAAACACTCAAGTAGAAAACCCGAGAGTAGTGAATCAGAAAACACAAATAAAGACTCAGTTCGGTTCTCTCAGACTAGGACTTTTCCTGGCTGAGAGAATCGTACTTGAGAAGAGGTCTATTGTATCCTATTATCGTACCTTTCCAGCTACTCTCCATACTCTACATTTTTTACAATATCCTTACTTAGATAAGTCAAGCAGAGGTGTATCTTACGAACGAAAGGTGTACCCCAAGAATATTACTTTATTACCAAAAGAGACTAAGGGGTTGAAAGGAACAACAAGCAGTCAACAAGAGGCAAGGAAGCCAGAAAGCAAGGTGCCAGGAAGCTTCAAGAAACAAACTAAGAAGAAGTCGTCCTTCACAAGCGAGGTTTCGAGTATCAAGTCAAGAAGACGCTGTCGCTCTTGATAAAGAAGAAGACGAGAAAGACGAAGACGAAGCAAATACTCCTCCTACGCTCCAACAGAAGGCTCCAAGGTTAATACAGTAATTGTGAGTGTTACAGCGTAAATTGAGAAAAATTATAGCCCTACCAGTCAAGGTGATGAATTCGTCAATGTTGGGGCTAGTTTCAGTGTGTAAAGTGTCATAGTGATTTTTCAATCAAGAAAATTCACACACAGTAGGATTTCTTGTATAGAAAGTAGTAACAGACCAAGCTCAACAGGCGAACAGTGACGAGGAATATAACTCAACTTAGTAATTATTACAAGAACCAAGAGCACCTACATGCAAGACATTTACAACTCATGCAAAAGTATATTATAAGATCTCAACAGAGGCAAACAAATATCAGATTTTTAAAGTATATTAACTGCTAGTGCAAGAAACATGTATACACGAGAACAATTACTAACAACCCTTCCACAGCAAAGAATATTATAAACAGAAGAAACACAGTAAGATCAAATTAAGACACGGGCAGTGAAACAAAGAACAAGTGCTAGAAAGAAAGGCACGATCGAATCACTCGAAAAGGCACAAGCCTCACAGTTATCCAGAAGATAAATAAATGAAATGACAAAACACAACCAGCATCAATAGAGCATTCAAAGTTTAGAATAAGAAATATTGAGCAAGGGAATTACTCAGAGCACAAAGAAATACGCTGAGTATTCACTTCATATCATAGAGGGAAGACATCTGTTAAAATCAATAGAGACCATCAAATGATGGAACGAGTCACTAGAAATAATTGCATACACAACAACAAAAATAGGACGACTACTATAATCTGATCAAGTATAACCATTGCTAAAAATGATCAATAAAAGATAACTGTAGGAATCAAATAGTGCATCCAATGGTGAATGACATAGTCACCATCTTCCCTAGAACACAGAAAGACTACTTCAATCTGATCAAGTATCTACAAAATACACATGTCTCAACGTACGAACAGAACTTGGTTAGATACGCACAGTGCTTAACACAATCAATACAGAAGTTCGAGAGAGGGGGGTGAATAGAGAGATGACAATAATACTTCCGAGGTCAAATGCTAATACACAACTAACCAGTATACAGACACAAGTAAACAACATCTAGGCAAGCAAATAAGACAACTGATCAAGTATACATAATAATACAACGAAGATCAATACGAAAGCAAAATAAGTACAACACTACATACTGATGCAACTCGATCGAGAACAAAATTAGGACGTAGAGTGCCACCAGACATATATACGAGTATTCAAGTGATAAGTACACAAAAATACAAGAGTTTGGTGCACGACAATATACCACATTAATACATACCAGTATATACCATACTAAAATAAAAGAGTTCGGTACATACCAATATGCTGCATACTCACATACAAAAGTTTGGGACACCACGAGGCCAGTCATCAGGACCGAACATCTCCCGAACATCAAGGGGTGACGTCGACAGGACCGAACTTCCCCAGTGACGTCAACAGGACCGAACATCTCATTAAGATCACGTGAGAAAATAATTTCTCATATGATGAAATAAACACAAGAAAGTCCACACGTGACGAAAAAAGCTTGACTAACAAACCCTAAATAAACCCTTCTGATTACAGGAGGGAACGCAACAAGCTACCGTGCCACACAGAACGGTAAACACTTCCCACGGAAGTGCAGCAAAGAGAGACCACAATAAAAGTAAGCGAGATACATCCAATTTATAATTTATTTTATTTTATACAAAATATTACCAAAGACAAGGGGGGGTGAAGCGCGTATTCGTGTACAGTCGTACAGAATGTAGCAAGAGTTTTTACTAATAATCGACAATACCCACACACCAACACGGACATCTCAAGATGCCAACAGCAGCCAGAGCAGGCGTGTGTGTTGGTGAAGAAGAGGGTGTGGGTACGGATGGCGCAGATGAAAACCCAGCAGGGGGGCCAAGCCCAGGCAGTGGCTCAAGCCAGCCAACACCGGGTGGGGTACCCATACTAGCCTCAGCAATGCGTTTAGAAATAGACAAGAGCAGCTGTCAAGGTAACCATGTTCTGGTTAGTAGGTTTGTATCCAAATCAGAACAAACAGCACCGGTGCCTATAGCAACTTTACACAAGATGGGAGTAGGCATCCATGACTAACAGCCCGAAAGACGCATGTCAATCGTTGACACGGAACTCAGAAGGAGATATGATCTAGCTATCAATGAGTGTGGTGACGATGAGGAAGATGAACTCATTCAAATCAGTCAGTACATTAGTGAGTTAGAACTCATGCGTTCACGCCTAGGCGATAAGATCAATAGACCTGCACTTTCTAAACTACTAGCAGCCTCAGAATTTTGAAGTTACCCAGAGACAGTTATTTCAAAATGGAAAATTATGAAGACATTATGAAGTTTACTATACAATGCAGATACCTATTCTTAGCCAAGTCTATGCCAATATGTCAGTACCTAGCACTAGTGAGATATCTATTAGACTCCACTGATGCCACGGAGAAGACCAAGGCAGTGCTCAATAAGTCGAGACTCTGAAACACAAATGACCAATCACTACAAGGATCCTGAACAATTCAACAAAATAATTATTGAAGGACTTAGACACCATCCAGTAGACTATCTGTTAAATAAGTTTCTCAATGACATGCAAAACAAGACACTAAACGTAGAGGTGCGCACAGAGCGATTGCATAGAACAATGCAAGTGATAGAAGAGCGTTACCGCAACTCGGACAGACAGCCTATACACTTGCAAATCCCTCAAGGTAATAAGATACCGAGTACTCACGTACTATGGACAACAGGAGAAAGTTGGCACTATCATCAAGGCAGACAAGCAACCTGATGGAAGTGAAGGTCACTTATCCGATATGAAACACACTGTGTTTCACTCTCGTACTGAAGCAACCATAAGAGCAGCGGCCAAAGCGCAGGCAGATCGGTTGTATAGTGACACAAGCGATACAGCTCGCAGACAGCCACAGCCACCCAAAGCCAGACTCAGGGTAGCACAACCACTACGGCCAAACGACACAAACCGGACAAAGATGCGCCTGAGCAAACCAAACCAATAGGACAAGACCAAGAGAAGAAAGTCCTTATTGTAAGGTGGTGCCAGCCCCACATCGCTTCAGTCAGTGTCCCAAGAGGGCATCGGATCAGACCAAGCAGGCTGAGGAGCGTGTCAGGAACAATGTACAAGTAGCAAGATTGTCCATTACCTCCGGCAAAGTAGAAGACATCACAGATGGCGATGAGCACTGAAACAACTGATGGGCGGAAGCAAACATGATTGACCTGGCTGACAGGCTTACTGTAAATACCGATGAAGAAACTTTGCTAATAAGTGCAAATGATATAAATACCAACCTTTATCCTTACTTCCCGCACCACGAGACCAACGATTACACATTGACATACAAATAAATGACAATACATACAATGTACTAGTAGACTCTGGCGCACAACGTTCATGTATGGACAAGAGTGTAGTAACTGGGTTATACCTCTATGTCAGAGCACAACCGGGCTATGGACAACTAGCACAAACAGATGCCAGAATACAAAGAATAGGGTCAACCCAAGTATGTGATATTATTATGGAGGAAGAAAAACCTCTCAGTGTTTTGAAGTGTTGGACCTCCCAGACAAGAAGGCACCAATAATTCTCGGTATGGATATTCTATCATACATAGGTATATACATAGCAGGATTAATCAATCCACTTATACCAACAGATGCGAAATGGGAATCACTCCTCACGCCCCATGAAGAGGACCCTGAGCATGAATAAGAAGACTTCAGAGAGTCACTTACAGATCTTTTAGACACTAATGCGAACATACCTCTTGACGTACATTTCAACCTACCAGGCTCTACAGTCACAGTACCTGCAAATGAAATGAATGTCAGACAAATGAGGTACGCTAAAGTCAACTTTGTACCTCACAAGTAAATTCCGCAAACGGATGAAAACGTACAAAGGTGGCTTACAGATGGTCACATATACAAACACACTACACCGACAATGGTGAACCTACCATTGTTATCAACAGGTGAACATGACCAAACAGGTCTCCTAAAAAAAACCCAGAACGTGTTTAGACTTACGCGAGATCAATTACCAAAATGAACAAGATATATTCGTGCTATCAAAAATAAAGTAAGTACTACACAACCTAAAAGGAGCACAATTCTGCTCAAAGTTGGATCTCACAGGAGGGTTCCACCACTTCCTAATAAACGAAGCAAGTCAACACTTCACATTCTCGTGGAGAGGAGCGCAATACTCATTCAAGTCAGCGCCCTTTAGCCTACACTCGCTCACAGCACAATTCCAAAGCGTGCAAGTGTATGTAGATGACATAGTCATTGCAAGTCTGACAGAAGAAGAACATTGCAAGACATTTCGTGAAGTAGTCA